ATAGAGAAAGTATTATTCACACAATTCACAATAGCCGCATCATAAATCACTGCAAGTCAATCATAGTCAATCCTCGATTAAGTCGACATGTATCATGCCATTCGCCTTGCTTTCCTTCTGTTTGTTCGATTATCACGTTAAGCGATAACCTTTCGACTCCTGACGCGTCTTTCGATGTGGCATTTTCTTTAATTCTAGATGAGAAAACAAGAATGTCTTACCATTTATTTAGAACAATATTTAATAAGCATCCAAGTTTTATATATGTGGCGAGACTTAATAATTAATGTGTACATTAAACACAGTTTACAAATTAGCTGTAGGTATAACGTATACATTAAACACAGCTTACAAATTAGCTATATGTATATTTATTATGCTTCATTATAGAAACAACAATGATACGATATATGGTGCACGTAATAATTGTAATTGTCGAGCTTAATTATACATATCTGATTGTGAGATATAAAAAAGTGATATTTTTCACAAGTACATAACATTATAGCATACTGTATTATAGAATTTTACTTGAACAGTTTGAAATTTACTGATAATGTTGCTTTTTCTGCAGCCATCATTATTTCGCTATCTGCGATTTTTTTATCTTTAAGTCTGGATCTTAAGAATTTATTTCTTTGTCTTCTACTTTTTATTTTTCGGTTTTAGTTTTTAGGTTTTAGTTTTCTTTTATTTTTTTCATTAATTCTTTAGAAATTTGTGAAGGAACAAGTAATTATACTTTTGTATTATTATTTGTGGAATGAACGTGGAATTATTACACAGTCAATCGAATCAAACTCAGGAAGTAGAAAGTGACGTAAAAGTCAGACGTGATGAGGATTTATCCCTCGGGATTAGGTCGAATACTCATCTGGAATGAAAGACGAATCATCACGAAAGAATGGTAAAAAAAAGATCGAAATGCAGGCCAACTGAAAAATATTTATCATTCACATTTCTTGATTGAATTTCATAAGCTTTCGTTATTGCAGTGGATTGTCACAATTATAGGCAAATAAAAATGACATTATTGTGGAACGTCGTTATTAAATACATTATTATAAATATGTGTGTGTGTGTGTGTGTGTGTGTGTGTGTGTGTGTGTGCGTGCTATCACTCCATAAATAACAAGTGATAGTCACCTCCCAAGAATCATTTCTTAACAAAAATAAAAATGGTCTATTCTTGTGATTAGCGTGGAAACTGCGTGTTATTCGCTTATTTCGTATATACATGTAACTTCTATTAAATAGCTACATCCTTGAATGATAATAATCGCATATCCATGAGCAATACGATAAATATTTATTATTTTAATAAATTTTTTATTCTAATCAATATACATATATATATATATATATATATATATATATATATATATCAAATAAAGCTCTCTCTCTCTCATTTTGTTAAATAAATAAATATATACACTATCTTATATTCTATATTCAGTTTTCTTTTATATTTATATTATTTGTATAAATTAATGACTTATTACTTTTATTTAATTTATTCGATAACATATTTTATTAGCATGTAGTTTGCGTAAGCAAGTTACACTGACGTAGTTTGTGTAAGCAAATGTAAATAATTTTGTAAGAGAGGAAAAGCTCTATATGGAAAATTGTTGATATTTCCATTTGATAAAAATTGATAAAAAAAGATAGATTTAAAAAATTGTTTTTTCCAGTTATACATTTTAAAATGTATGCTTCACAAGGATATAATAATTTCTTTTTTTTCCGGATATTTTTAGGATAATTTGAAATCAAGGAAAAGAAGGAGGAAGAGAATGAGAGCTTTTTGTTTTTTTCTACTCGGACAAATTCTCAACCTACGTTCATCAACGTATTTGATTTAAATATGCAGATTATATGCCGCGTTAAATAATTGTAGAAAAAGAAAAATTATAATAGAGAAATAGAGAAAACACAACTGTGTTGAAAAAACAATGTAAAAAGAAATGTAGCAGAGAGCATTATTAATTGCACGAATCTGGCAAATAGTGATGTGAGTTAAAGAAAAATATACAACAGGTCGAGAATTTGTCCGAGTAGAAAAAAAAAGCTCTCATTCTCTTCCTCCATTCTCTTTCCTTGATTTCAAATTATCCTAAAAATATCCGGAAAAAAAGAAATTATTATATCCTTGTGAAGCTTACATTTTAAAATGTATAACTGGAAAAAACAATTTTTTAAATCTATCTTTCATCTAAACCAATAATAAGTCGGATTATTAAATGTTTTTGAGAATATTTTACTTATGCGATAGTTTTCTGCCTTTCTCCTTCTCTCTCTTTCTTTTGTTAGTCTTATATGATATTTTTTTTTCACCACAAATTTAACATCATTTAAAAACAAAAATTCCCTGTGAATATACTTTCTACATACATATAATAAGCCTTTTAATAATTATGACATGATATTCAGATGTGATTATAGCGATAATATTTCACGTGACAAAAACCTTCTTTTGCTACCGTGATTCTATCGCGTTGCAGAGATTGAATGTAATGATATAATATTGTTACTTAATTAGTAAAAGAAAGTTAATATTGATTATTATGTCATTATTATGTTGAGTGTAAAACAAAAAAAGGAAAAAAGTAAAAAAAAAGTAGGAAAAAGTAGAAAAAAGTAGATATAAAATTGACATCGGTAGTGTACGCAAGCGTTTAATCCGACGCGCTATAGAAACTCACTGCGATGTGCGAGAGGCTTCTCCATTCGAATCAATACAGCACATACTCGTACACATACTCACGTAATCTGTGGACATACGTATGTAATATACGCATACATATGTAATATCACATTATGTTGAGAATCGAAATGTTGAGAGAGTGGAAATGTCATATATTTCTCATTTTTTTGGTTTGCATATCATCCATGTCTTTTCATGTATTATTTTTCATATTACATTAATAATAAATCCGTTCCTTTAGACACACACACAAATATAAAAATATAAGATAATTATTATATATTCTTTTTAAGTTAAATATTTTAACATGTTTTGCTTATTCGAATAAAAATTTTTAGGAGTAATATTACTAATGCTATCAAAAAGAGCAAACAAAATTAAAATTAAGATGTTTATTTAAGAAAATATTTAAATTGCTCTATTGTGAGATTTTCAATATAATAATATCTAAACTCAGCTAATTGAAAATAATTCTTGCTACTTTATTCCTACTTTATTGCTACTTTATTCCTACTTCTTCCTACTTTATTCTGTAAAGTGTTTGGTTTACATTTTTCTCTCTCTTCCTTTTCTCTCTTTCTCTCTCCTCTCTCTTCTTCTCCTCCTCCTCCTCTCTCTCTTTTTCTCTCCTTTTTTTTCGTACGCTTTTGCAAATGTTTTTGAGATGAAAAATGAGGTTTCTCATATCGATTCGGAGATTAAAACAGTTCCAACATCTCGATTGGCTTTACGCCATGATTTTATGAAACAACGATATATTATCTTGGATGGTATCTCTCTCTCTCTTTCTATCATCATACTTTTCTCAATTTCAAAATTTTATTTTGCTGAGAGAAATATACAGTAAATTTCTTTTAATAAAATAAAAACGATACAATTATTCACATCATTGCGAATTTATTTTTTTAGCTTTCTTATAATTAAGATTATTATTGCTTTAAAAGAAAATATTTGAAGAAATAATATTAAAAAATATAATAAAATGTAACACACACACACACACACACACACACACACACACACACACGTATGTATACGCACGTATGCATATGTGTGCGCGCATATGGTTTTAAGTACATTGAAGATATAAGAATAAATTTTGTGGAACAGAAAGCAGAATTCTCAATAAACATTATCAATAAACATTATAATTAAAACTTATCATCTATTGTATAAAAGATTAATGCGATTATTTTATGCGAACATTCGAATGATGTTCTCGCTTAAATGGAACGAAATCACCGATTCGAAGCAGACAGGGGTTTGGCATTACGTGGTTTGAAACTGACTGTGCATATACATGCATTCGCATACGAAAGCTGTGCAGGGCCGCAACTACGATTCTGTAGAATATGATGTATATATACATACATATATATAGAATCTTAGATGTTGCAACTAAAGTTTTCGCACGTGTATTTTTTTATTCTCAAAATTATATGCTAAAATGGCTAATACATTAGTTATTGTAAAGTTAATTATAAAATTTTGGACAATCAATAAAAAAGCTTGAGCTTTAGATATATGGTGATTTAAAAAAAAATGATATAAAATATATAAAGTTAATTGCGCAGAAAAATCTTTGAAAATATACATATATCACATGATACATAATTAACAAATTTAATATTTTTGTAGATATCCTCGCGTATATAATATTTTAAAAATTAATTCTTGTATATATTACAAGCCATAAATGTATATATGGCTCGGTGAACTATAACTGCAGTTCTGATTTAACTCGTTGCTACGAGACTGTATTTACGGATATGTCCTCGCGAATACGGCGATTTCAACCTCGTTAATACCTACCGAGATGTGATGGTGTATGTGCGCGAACGCCTAATTAATTAACCGAAACGAGCACTAATGCACGCATGCATACATGTATACTCGTGACATCGGAGATTGGAAGAATTCTAATTTATTACGCGCATTCAGTTTGCTAATAGAATTATATATAACTATACACACACACACACACACACACACACGCACGCACGCACGCACGCACGCACGCACGCACGCACGCACGCACGCACGCACGCACGCACGCACGCACGCACGCACGCACGCACGCACGCACGCACGCACGCACGCACGCACGCACGCACGCACGCACGCACGCACGCACGCACGCACGCACGCACGCACGCACGCACGCACGCACGCACGCACGCACGCACGCACACGCACACGCACACGCGCACACACACACACACACACACACGCACACACACACACACACACACACACATACATATATATATATTTTGCTTACAATTAATTTCAGGCGGTTTTCTTGGTGACATTGCACTGCCAAATATTAAATATGATACAGAATGGCGCGAACAAAAGTTGAATAAAAGCTACCTGGAAGAATTAGAGAAATACAGGGAGGAAATATTAAAGGAAGGTCTTCAAGTAGAGGAAGAAGGCCTTACGGGTGGGTATAAGTATATATTATTATAATATATCACAACGTTTTCTATTATATAAGTGTTAAATAATTAGTGATAAATTTTTTTCTCAAATTGTTAGAAAACATCGACAATATAATTATCAAATTTTTTTTATTTAAAGTTATACACTCACACACACACAATGATTTCTCTAAACCAATATTTACATGTCTGTTTTTATGATTATCACATGTTTATATATATGTGTATCTATACTTGTAATGATTTGACCCGAAAGCATATTTATTTTATTTCAGAGATCCTTCAGTTTAAGAGTGAACATGATGTTAACAAACAAGTGTTCAATGAACACAACGATGCGGTTGTCAAAAAAAAATCTGAGTCGATAGATCGCAATCAATATAGCATGGGTGGCGAGTCTGATGGTTTCAGCTTTAACGATAGGAGCGATGATACTAATCCTGCAGTGAAAAACGAGGGTTTAGTGTTTAGGTATTACATCATGAATGTATAGTCATTGCGTATTTTGTGATATGAGAAAATTTCAATATTAGAATATATTTTGTGAAATCTATCTTATATATTAGATCTTTTATTTCTTTCATATAACATATTTTACAAGTAGGTACCATACATGAGAAAGTATCAACAAAATTCTAGGATAATTATAAAAGAAAAATGGAGTATAATTCAAATTTCAACAGATAACATATTAAATACGATGAAATAGTATTACTGGTTTGTTTGAAAGTAATAACGTATTTTTTGAAAAAAAAACATCTCGTTTTTACATGTGTAATATAAATACGCACATTCTACTTGTGATTAGATAATCATGTTAAACACGGATAAATAGTGCAAGACAAATTATATTAATTGTCAATTGTGCTTATGCCATTAGACTGGAATCCTCGACCCAAGCTTCGAAAAAAAAGTATTTCGAACGACAAGCTCGTCGACAGATTTCGAGGACGGTATTGATATCAGAATCAGTGAAAGCTAGACATCCGACTCATGACATGCCTCTCGAATTTTCAACCTCTACAGCTTTTACTACCGAGCCCAGTAAATATGTAGGTCGTGTATATACAGACAACATCAAGGAAACATTTAATGCGCAAACTGAATTGAATACGCAAAATCCATCGAATCGACGACGGCGACGTCATCATCGTAAAAGGTAGGAAAGCTCAAACAAAAATTTAATTAAATATATAAATTTTTGTTTAATGCATAAATTTAAACACAGGCATATTTGCGATCTAACAATTGCTAATTTTTTTCATCTTCCTTTATAACGATAGCATATAAAAGTTAAATTGTTATTATTATAGTAGATAGAGGCAATTTTCTATTTTAGTAACGTATATGACTTTTCTGTTTCTGTCCATTTTATATGTTTTATAAAGAAAAATTTCTTTTATTTATTTTTTAAATTTGTTTTAATACGGAAATATTAATAAATAATATCATCTTGTTTCTGTGATATCTTGTTGATTAATCAAGCATTTTTAGAAGAACAAGGCAAGTCTTTGATACAAAACGCCAAGCATGTGGCAAGCGATAACAGAAGCAAGATATGCGGAGAACACCTTTTGTAAAAATATCAAAAAAAAGATTACACGGTGAGACATAACATTCAATTTATTATACAATACAATTATATAATACAAACCTTATTAAAACTGTAGATAACTAAAGGAGATAAGTCATTTATGTATTATTAAAATTGCCTCTATCTTTGACACGTTTATTTTCTTCGAGCTAGTTTATTAAGCATTTTATGTATATACTCGGTAAGCAATTTTAATTAAAGTATACTTTAATTAAAGTATAATAAAGTATTTTAATTAAAGTGTATTTTTTAATATTTTCATATTGATATTCATATTAATATCCACAATATACATGAAAGATATGTGATTAGTAAATTATTTTAAACTAATCGATTAAACTCATAGTGACGCGTTGTTAAATTGTGAAAAATCCTGATTTGCGATTTGGCAATATCTATTTTTTCATTTGACTACTGGCATACGCATCAACTTCCAAGTATCGCTAACGGTATTTCCACCAGCGGAGCCATTTCGCAATGCCAATAACAATGGCCGTCATCGTAAAGCTGGAAAATGGGGTGCGATACTATCGTCCGGGCATTTTCAGCTCTCGAACTGCCAATAACTTGTCGATATTGGCAGCAATGTGTCGTATCGCGATGCCTGACTAGGTACACGGCTCGCGCATTATCGTACAATGTCATATATTTGAAAGTATGATCTCTTAATTAAACGCTAAAGATATCTTTTCATCGTGTGCTCAGCCTATATATACACACACACACACACACACACACACACACACACACACACACACACACACACATACGCGCGTATGCACGCATGCAAATATGTACACGTATTAAATCCAATTTCTTTACGTTTTTCAAGCCATATTGTCGACATAAATTGATGAAAATGATTGGATAAAGAATAAATTGTAAAAGTAAATATAGAGGCGGCAATTTGTATAATAATGTAATTTAACAAAAGTTTTTATATATGCAAACAATAAATATTTTTTCATTATCTAAAATATTAAATTTGAAAAAAATTCATTATACGCGTCGCTTTCATTCATCTTCCTCAAAGTTTTTGCAGATATTTCATGTTCCAGAGGCTTGCACGTTCAGCAATCTTTTTAGAATTCTGGAGCTTCGATGAGAATCATCACGCGATCATGTCTTACATATGAGATATAAGATATGAATACGCGCTTTCCTAAACCTATTTCAAAGTTAATTTAATCTTCAATCTTCAATATACATATCACCATCCTTTCAAATTTTTATTCCATTGGGAATTGGCACATTATGTATATAAAACGTATATAAAACGTAAACAAAGCTTTGTTAAATGGCATATAAAAATTGAAATGGCATATAAATTCAATAAATAACGAGACAAAATGTGTTTCTTATATTTGTTCTTTTCGATTTAAAAAAATACAAAAAATGCCTAATAAATTTTAAAATTTATCGAGACATGATAGATTTTTTTAAACTCAAAAACACTCATTATATTAATTATTATAATGTAAATCATAAATTTAAATAACACCAACGCATTACTGTGTTACGGATACTTTATTTTGATAACAGTAACAAAATAACAATTAACAAGTAAACAATTAAAAAGTATATAACGTAACACGTTAGTCATTATTATTGAATACGTACCAACGCTTTATTCCAAAGATTTCATCATTGCGAGATGCTTTAGCTATATTTCAAGTTATTATAAAAGCATGGAACATTTATGTTATTAGCATTTCTTTTTTTCCGAGTATGCGCGTGTGGGTAAAAATCCTTGAATGTCTATATCAATTATAATATATTAGATCAAAGCAGTGGATTGTTACCCTCGGAATAACGGTAGTAGGCGCAACCAACTATACAAGGAAGCATGGTAAATGTATCTCAAAACCGGATTCATTAACGCACTCTATTGTACTTCTCCTCGTCTTCTCACGATGCTTATACGAGCATTATATCTATACGTGGCTCACATGCGAGACACGTTAATTAATTGTAACGCCCTACTGATTCAGAAACGCCTTGTCTAAGTGCTATCGGTTAGGGCTGGCTGGCTAGAAAAGTAGACTCGAATAATGGAAGTGAATTACATCTACATCTTTAGTAATTAGTGCTAATAAACGAGCGAAATAAAAATCATAAAGTGTGCGTGCAATTTATAATTAATTCAAAATGCGCGAAGAGAAATTCTTTGAAATATCGAATACAGATGGATGTTCTATTTTCGTCATGTTCTCGATTGCTTGTTTACAGCTTATATCGAGAAATATCGAGATAGTTTGAAAATGCAAGAAAAGTATATATATATATGTGTGTGTGTGTGTGTGTGTGTGTGTGTGTGTGTGTGTGTGTTGATATAGTGATGTATGATACTATTATGTACATATGCTTGTGTATGTGAATGTGAAAGAGTATTTGGTCTCAAAATTCACATTTACATTCCATGCAATATAAAACAAAATATAGTGTGTGTATGTATGTATAACATTGAAAAAAGTGTAGTATACATAAATAAAATAAATAAAAAATACTGGTATATTATTTTTAGAATTTTAGGAAGACGTTCTCACCATCATTGCAATCGACGAACGCATGACTTTATTACCGATGCATCGGACGAAGTCATTTCTGCACACGATCGACGTCTTCGTTCTATCGAATTCTATAATATGGATCACAAGCCGAAATTGATAAACAAGCATGGCACGAAACACTTTTCAAGCAGAATACGTCGAGCCGCTACTGCGAGGAAGGAACGAGTATGGGATCATGGGGTCATTCCCTATGAGATTGATGGAAATTTTTCTGGTGCACATAAAGCATTATTCAAACAAGCAATGAGACATTGGGAAAATTTTACTTGCGTCAAATTTGTAGAGAGAGTATCCAGAGAGCATCCTAATTATATTCTATTTACGGAAAGACCTTGCGGGTGAGTTGCATCGTATAATAATAATGTAGAATAATAGTATAATAGATATATCGATGTAATAGATGTAACTAATAATAAATGTAACTAATAATAAATGTAACTTGTCCTGTCATCTTATATGTAATTCTAATTTCGAATTATTATTGATAATAATTATTTTATTCAATGTTGATGCATGTCTCTTTCATTCTCTTCATTTCGTTTTATACGTGAAATAATTTGTAATAATTAGATACATTAGATGTGAGATAAAATATTTTAATGTTATTTATTTTTGATTTCAAATTTGCCAAAGAAACAAATATGAATAATAGATATGCTGCGTTTAATTATATATATATATATATATATATATATATATATATATATATATATAAAATTTCTTCGGTAGATGCTGTTCTTTTGTCGGAAAAAGAGGTAATGGACCGCAAGCTATTAGCATTGGTAAAAACTGCGATAAGTTTGGTATAGTTGTACATGAATTAGGTCACGTCGTTGGATTTTGGCACGAGCATACTCGACCAGATCGTGATCGTCATGTACAAATTATCCGCGATAATATTATGAGCGGTAAGTAATATTTCCAATTTGCTCTGACAATGAGATACTAAATTTGAAATCGATGCTTTAAGCTTAATTGGAATTCAATATGAGATATAATAAATTATATATATATATATATATATATATATATATATATATACATATAAATGAAGAAATCTTATGAAATTAATATTTATTGATAGAAAACGACAAAAAATTGTTTTTTTTAATTAATCCTGCAAATTAATTTTTTCAAGTAGAAATTTAATTGTAAAAATTTGATTAATAACAAACGAGATTATATTTTTAATAATTATATTCTTTTTCTTAAAGAGAGTCAAGAAGAAGAATGATATGTATTTATAAAATTTTGTTCTAAAAGATTTAAGAATACAAAAAAATATTTTGCTTTTTATAGGTCAAGAATACAATTTTAATAAATTGACAGAAGAAGAAGTGAATTCACTCGGCTTGCCCTATGATTATGACTCCATCATGCACTATGCAAAAAATACCTTTTCAAAAGGTACTTATCTGGATACAATTTTACCTATGGAAACTCATGGAAAAAAGAGACCCGAAATCGGACAAAGAATCAGACTAAGCGAAGGCGACATCGCGCAAACAAATCTTTTATATAAATGTCATAGTAAGAATTTCAATATTCAATATAATTATTTCAGCTGGAGTTTTATTATGAAAAAATTTGATTTTACATAAAAATTATGTCTCTAGGAAGATTAGATTATAAAATCTCTCCTAGAGACATAATTTTTATATAAAATCAATTTTTTTCATAATAAAACTCCATATATATATGTATACACACACAAAATATGCATTAAAATAAAATGAAAAATGGACAAGTTAAACTTTTAATCAATTGCATTCTTTTTCATGAGATATATGCGAGTGCTTTTGATTAATTTAGCTTTATCCAGTTAAGTAAACCGATTTTTGCAGAGTGTGGTAGAACATTTCAGGAGAACAGTGGTATCTTTGCATCACCAAACTACCCAAACAATTCTCCACCTACTGATGGAGAACGATGCGAATGGAGAATTACGGCTACACATGGTGAACGTATCGTCCTAAATATCACATTTCTTGATATATTCAAAAGCAATTATTGTCGCAGTGATTATCTTGAAATTCGAGATGGATATTGGCATAAGAGTCGAGTATTAGGTGAGAATCTTTTTTTTAAACTAAAAAAGTTTATGCAAATTGTTTGCACCCAACAATCTCGATAATGAGAGTACGAAAGAGGTGGAAGTGTTATAAGTATATCGTGAGAAATGTATTTAATTAACTTCAAATAAATTGGCACGCGCTCCGAGCAGTAAAAGTAGCAATTCCATAATTTTTTCACATACATTTTATCTAATTCAGGTCGATATTGTGGTAGCGGTAAAATGCACGAGCCAATAGTGTCAAGCGGAAGTCGTATGCTAGTAACATATGTGATATCTAGCAAGCAAAGTGGTCATCGTGGCTTCACGGCTAGTTATGAAGCTGTTTGCGGCGGTGATGTCGAATTAGATGGTATAGGTCATTTGGAATCACCAAATTATCCAGAAGAATATCAATCCAGTAAAGAGTGCGTGTGGAAACTGTCCGTACCCCAGGACTATCAAGTGGCCTTGAAGTTCCAGTCTTTTGAAATCGAGAACCACGATAATTGCGTGTATGACTACGTTGAAGTGCGTGACGGACATGACAACGATTCCCCCTTAATCGGCGTTTATTGTGGGTACAAGATACCACCAGATATCAAGTCGGTGGGCAATAAGCTACTTGTTAAGTTTGTTAGCGACGGTTCCGTACAAAAGGCTGGCTTCTCGGCAACTTTTATGAAAGGTATATAACATAGTATAGATAGTAAAATGTATTGCGCATATGCATCTCTTGCATTAAAAAAAATGAATTTGTTATATTGTTATTTGTTGATTATTTTAAAAAATGTTGTAAATAATGCTATAAACAATACTATAATGATATTTAAGAATTCGATGAGTGCATATTAACGGATCATGGTTGCGAGCATAATTGTACCAATACGCTCGGTGGATATGAATGTTCTTGTAAAATTGGTTACGAGCTACATTCCGACGGCAAACATTGCGAAGGCAAGATACAATAATTATCTGGAGAGCGGAACATTCATTTAATCCGCTTAGGCAATCCCAATCCACAAGTAATAATATTCTATATTCTTTTATAGATGCATGTGGTGGATTTTTTAATGGTAGTAATGGCACCATCACTAGCCCATCGTTTCCCGAAGCATATCCAGGAAATAAAAATTGCGTTTGGGAAATTGTTGCACCATCTCAATATCGCATTACTTTAAATTTTACTCATTTCGATCTCGAAGGCAATAATGTGTATCAGGAAGAATGCGAGTATGATTCTGTGGAGGTGGCGAGTAAGCTTGGCGACGATGTTCTCAGAAAGCATGGAATATTTTGCGGTGCTCGGTTACCGTCACTAATAACATCCGAGGGAAATTTCATGAGAATTACTTTCACATCTGATAACAGGTTTTATTTTATGTACTCGTCTATTTTTTCAATATAAATATATATATATATAAATATATATAAATATATATATATATATATTTATATATATATATATTTAGCTTACGTATAAATTACTTGTATCATGTAGAAAGAAATACATTAAATTTTTCATCATATGCTTTGATAATATTTGTGTTTTAGTAATTGATGGATAAGAAGAATTTTTATTCTCAAAAATTATGATTTTTTTTATTTAATTATTTGAAAAGATTTAAAATTAAATTAATTTATTATAAACATAATTATTTTAAATTTATTATATACATAAAAAAATAAATAAATAAATAAATATATATATATATATATATACACTCGGCCAAAAGAAACGATACAATAGAAAAATGGAAAAGAAATTATGAAAATTCAAATGCTCATGACGCAGTTAATAATTATGGCATCAAGGTGAAAAAAATTGAAATGAAACTCAAGACTGTATTTTGGGAAACTTTTAATGTCAATTGTGTGGAATGATTAATTTTGCGATGGTGGGATGATTAATTTAATTGACATAGTGGCGACCTATAAAATTATTTACATAGATATAACGCATATGATAACATAGATATAACGCATATGGCAGAGATGAAAGTGAATTCTATGATTCAAATAATGATTCGTCATATTATTTCACAATATTTATTGATCTTGAAGTATCTTATGCGTATCTTTACATAACGTATAAAATATAGCTAGTCATCTTCACATACACACACACACATACACGCGCGCGCGCGCATATACGCACGCACGCACTGGTAGATTTCAAACAACCAATACGATACATCTTACAAGACAGAGGTATACTGGTTTGAATTGATAATGGCAGAATTTTAATCACAATTTATCATTATTTCATGTAAAATTTATATTTCTTTCAAATTGATATAATTCAGCGAAGAATTATTGTATCAAATTCCGCAAAAGTTTATTTTGAAGAGGAGAATTTGAATTTTCATGCGCTTTTTATCTCATTGAGCAATGTGTCAACTGGTTCATCCAACACAATTGGCATTAAAATAAGTTTCTCAAAATACAATCTTGAGCTTCATTTCAGTTTTTAAAAAATCTCCATACTATAATTATTAACTGCGTTATGAGCATTTAAATTTTTATAATTCTTTTTTCCATTTTTCTACTATATTGCTTATATATATATATTAAAAAATATATATAATAAACGTATTAAAATTGAAAATAAATTTTTGATATAAAGAAGCCAGGACTATGCTTCATAAGTTATGTAATGCGAAAATATTAAATATAATATATAAGTTTTTTTGTGTATGAAATTTTTATAAAACAACTTTGAAATATTTTTACATAAAATTGCAATATATTAGCGTAAATATTGAGACATATGTTAAAAGATACGATTAATACTTGTCATTTGCGCTACATGTTATTAAACAGCGTCCAAAAATCAGGATTTGCTGCCATATTTTTTACGGATATGGATGAGTGTGCCAGTAACAATGGAGGGTGCCAGCACGAGTGCAAAAACACAATAGGTTCTTATCAATGCTCTTGCCACAATGGTTTTACACTTCATGAAAATGGTCATGATTGCAAAGAAGGTGGTTGCAAATACGAAATTATTGCACCCGTGGGAACAATTACTTCACCAAACTATCCGGATTATTATCCTGGTCGTAAAGATTGCGTCTGGCATTTTACTACGAAACCAGGCCATCGAATAAAATTGGTTTGTATTTCGCATAGCAATAGTCAGTAATTATACCATTACATTTTGGTTTCAATTTAGTAAAAAAAAATAATATTGAAAAAGAAGAAAAAGAAAACAAGACATTCTACATGAAGAAAAAATATGCATATTTTATAGGTCTTTAAAGTTTTTGAAATGGAATCGCATCAAGAATGTGCATATGATCATATTGTTATTTACGATGGAGATTCGCCAGATAGTCTTACCTTAGGTAGATTTTGTGGTACTAAAGAACCGCATCCAATTCTTGCAACTGGTAATCAAATGTACATGGTCTTTAAGAGTGACGCTTCCGTGCAAAGAAAAGGATTTTTAGCGACCCATAGTACAGGTAAACTTTCCTGATAAGATATATATTGGCGGCGAGTTTCAATAATAAATTTCAATTCATAAATCTTGATATATAGTGTTGAATTTGAAAATTCTGAAAAATAAAAACTCTTTGGATTTTTAAACACAATTGATATACATATAATATGATATATTGCATACACATACTCTATAATATAATATTTTAACACGTGTTACAGCTTGTGGTGGTCATCTTATGGCAACAGATAGAGTGAAGCACTTATATTCTCATGCTAAATATGGTTATCATAATTATGATCACAATACAGATTGTGACTGGATAATAGAAGCACCACTTGGCAAAAATGTTCATTTATCTTTTCATTCATTCCAACTCGAATATGAAACTGAATGTGGATATGACTTTGTTGAAGTGTTCTCCGGTTTAGATGTTTCCAGTCCTCCATATGGGAGATTTTGCGGTAATTCTGTAAGTGAATTTCTTCAATAATCCAACATTTTCAATAATATTACATCGAATAATGATGATATACATATGTAATATAATGAGAATATAATTAGATCTATACGTATGAAAAACAATTATTATATACAAAATTTTGATCACTACTTTGTAGAATACCACAGATTTTATTTCTATGAACGAAGCGCTACTGGTAAGGTTTAGAACGGATGATACAATTTCGAGCAAAGGTTTCATAGCCATATTTGTAGCAATCGATCGACAGGATAGTGAGGAAAATTTCGGTGGTGAAGATGATGAAGAACAAAATCTTTGATTTTTAGCTCGATTGTTTAATGAGTTAAAATAAGTGAATTCTGAGTTGACTATTTTTGCAAAAAGTACTAGTTTTATTACAATATTACACGTATATTTTTCTATATATGTTAGATGAAATTTTCATCAATGTGATAGAAACCACGTTGTTTTTTTTAAGGATATACAACATTGAATAAAATATAAAAAAATCGGCCTGATCGGAGCTTGAAATAAATCTGTTTCAAGTAATAATCTAATGTGATGTGAATTATTGATTAAATATGAATGTGATGTGAATTATTGATTAAATATGAAGTAATATTTTCCATAATATGGGGTTAATAACTAAATATATCACGTGATGACGCACACATCGCATTCTATAAGATTTAAATCTTAATACATCGATTTATGTGTGTAGTGTTATTTCTTGAGTCATATTAAAGCAACAGACAAGTATACTCTATAAAATATGTACGATATTGTAATTTCAATTGCGAAAGTTTGACAATTGTGACGATTATAACGACGACATATTTTTTTTAGTTTTTCGCTCGTGCCTCATGGCATTTAAATTATAATATAAGGAAAATAAAAAGCAAACTATTCTATCAAGTAATAATTTTATCGTCACTAAAAAAGCTCCCGTTAAAACTGTATATTTAACAATAAGTTAATGTATTTAAGTTTAGTCAACGAAATAATTAATGTGGCATTAAACAATTTCTGCATTTAGAAAAGAATTATCATATTTGTCTTAAAGTATATGTACACTGTAGATTTTTTAAGCTAGAGCTGGAGCGTGTTATTTGGAGTCTAGATATATAAACAGAACCTAGAACGTTTTAGCAGGATGCAATCTAAGCTCTAATTAGAGTCGATAAGATACATCTAAGAACATGTAATGTATACAGCCATCTGATATTTTAGACTGCTCTAAGTCTATTTATCCAGACAAACAGATTTCACTTTACTAAATTTGCTTTTATCATGTTTCATATGAAAACATTCAATAAGTGTTGCATGGGACAGGAATAAAACATTAAAGTTATTAAAATTTTAATGTTTAAAAACAAATGTTGAAAAATCACTTTCCTTAGATAAGTGTTTTATTTTTTTATATTCAGAGACAGAGATGCGAATTGCAGTAAAAATTTGAAATCTTAATGAGATATACGTATAAAATTCATGATACGAATTTATCTGTCTTTAGCAAACAATTTTTTTGTTAATTTAGCATCAGAACCTTCTTATTTTCTTCTAACAATTCATATCCTCCTTTTCGATTTTCATTTCTTCTTTTTTAACGATAAAATTACAATTACAGCAACAATAATATATCTATTTATAATGTGACTAAATACAAATACAAAGTTTAGAGATTTCATTTCTAAACTTTTTCTCTCGCTCCGGCATAGAATGTAGAGTGAAAGTGATGTAAACGGAAGCTAGATTTTTTTAATCCAGTTAGATTTACTCTAGAAGATCTCTATCTCCACTCTATACCAGAACAAAATTTGCGCAGTGGATTATTAATCGTTAAAAGGTAATAAATCTAACTAGATTTTTCTCTACAGTGTACATGTATACCTTCAATAATAAGTTATATTATTTATAAATTTTTCATCAATAGATATTGAAATAGAACATAATTAACGCGGCCTATATCACGTACGGCCCAATTATGTGCCATATGTAGTAAGATTTTAATAAATTTGTTTCTATTACTTTTAGACGTCTTTCTACACGTATTTTCACGAATATAACGTCATGTCTATATCATAATAGAACGAAGATTGGAAAAATATCATGTTTTTAAATTGAATAATTGATGTTGACAAATTTAATTAAAGTTTTTTGGATTAACGATTAATTGGAAAAAAGTTAATCGGGGATCTACCAGTGATGATTGATATAAATAAAATTAATCCAAGATTGTTTAATTAACGATTAATAAGAGCGAAATTAACTAAAGGTCGTCAAATTGACAATTTTGGTATAAGATTGCAAAATGATAAAGAGTTTTCTTACCTAGTTAAGCCAGCTCTACTTAGATGAGTATTTTTCTTCTAATTTTCTTTCTCGCCCCCCTCGCTATAAAAGATTAAAATTAACAAGACTCAACTATATTAGGTGCAATAGATATAATGATGAGAAGATAATTCTTTCATCTACTTTATATTGTTCTTACGAGGAACAAACACTGCCTAAATGACAGTAATACATCAACATTTCATGCTTCATAAAACTTAATAAGACTATTAGATTATAAATAAATCAGATTTTACGAATTATACTATAGCGTTTTGTAATACTGTGCGACGTATCGACGATGCTGATTTACATTCTTGGCATTAATTGCAATTCATTTGCTTGTAATGCACTTGTATCACGATATGCGTAAATATATAAACATATATATATATATATATATATATATATATATATATATATATACAAAATTTGATCAACATCAAGAAAAATGGAAGCGCCATATCGTAATACATGTAAAAACCAATAATATTTCATAGATATTTTGTTTCTGTTTTAATCAAAGATTATCATAAAAAGTAAAATTCAATGAACGCAAATTTTAAACTTAAAAAATAAATATGTAATGTAAATAATAATATGTATATTTGTGTGTTTGTAAGCGTTTGCGTACGTTTCTTCGTGTATAAATATAAATATGTCATTTGCGAGAAAATATCCGACACATTCCAACGTACGCTTATTGTATATGAATAAAGTTAATTATAGATAATATCATTTTATATGTAGCTCATACACAGCAATATTAATAAATTGTAGCTCATTGAATTATTAAATAAATATTGAAATGTTTAACATTGTTTATGCTTTAATAATAATAAATTTTCTCAGAATTTGAGTGGTGGTCTTTTAACAATCTGGTTAAAACATATCCTGCATGATAAAGTGATTCGCATATTGGATGTTATGCTACCCAATTAAATAATATTTATTATAGGTACTGTGTCAGATTAAATTATACGAAGAAATATTTTTTATAAGATTAATAATATAGCGTTTAAAATTGTGGAACAGAATCGAAATCACAGGCATCTCTTTATAAGTTGTAATAGGTAAAATATGTATATGTAAAATATATATGTATAGTCCTATACAGCACACAAAGATTGTATACACATTGCAGCAATCTTTCACCGCAATATTGCAACGCTGCAAATTCATTGCAAAATGATGCTGCATCATTGTTGTGGGATTGCAGCAACATTAAAATGTCCACTTTCAGAAATATTGCAATGTAGCAATGTTACGGTGCAACGTATTTGTAATATTAAAACTCGTTTTGCTACAAATGCAGACACAGTTTTAAATTTAATAAATAAACTATGAAAATATAAAAAAAGTTTAAAAAAAATAGGAAAAAATACCTTTAAAAAAACATCTATTCAGCCGGGTCTACAATGGCCGTAGCATAAGGTTGTAAGCAAAATGAAGTGACTTGAAATGAAATGACTTTGCTTTAAAAGTCTTCGCGCATGCGCCATTTACTGCGCACGTGCGCCTGATTGGGAGTCTTGGCGCATGCGCGGCAGTCCTCGCGCCTGCTTGGGAGTCTTCACGCATGCGTGGTAGTCCTCGCGCCTGATTGGGAGTATTCACGCATGCGCGGCAGTTCTCGCGCCTGATTGGATGTCTTCGCGCGTGTGCGGCAGCCTTCGCGCATGATTGGGAGACTTAGGGACGATTAGAGTCTTTAGAGACCTTAATAAGGCGAACCTAATTAAAACCATTAGAGACCTTAATAAGGTCTTTAGAGACCTTAACAAGGCGAACAGCTTATTAAGGTCTTTGGGAGACCCTTAATAAGGCCTTCATAAGGTCTTTGGGAGACCCTTAATAAGGCATCATTATAAGGGTCCCTTAATAAGGGTCTCCCAAAGACCTTCATAAGGTCTTTGGGAGACCCTTAATAAGGCGAAAACCTTATTAAGGTCTTCGGGAAACCCTTAATAAGGTTTTCGTCTTATTAAGGTCTTCGGGAGACCTTTAAGGTTCTCCCGAAATCCTCAATAAGACGAAAACCTTATTAAGGTCCTCCCAAGACCCGTAATAAGGCGAAATCCTTATTAAGGTTCTCCCGGGACCCATAATAAAACAAAAACATTATTAAGGTTCTCCCGGGACCCGTAATAAGGCAAAAACCTTATTAAGGTTCTCCCGGGACCCGTAATAAGGCTAAAACCTTATTAAAGTTCTCCCGGGAACCGTAATAAGCCGAAAACCTTATTAAGGTTCTCCCGAGACCCGTAATAAGGCGAAAACCTTATAAAGGATCTCCCGAGACCCGTAATAAGGCGAAAACCTTATTAAGGTTCTTCCGAGATCCGTAATAAGGCGAAAACCTTATTAAGATTCTCCCGAGACCCTTAATAAGGCGAAAACTTTATTAAGGTTCTCCCGGGACCCGTAATAAAGCGAAAACCTTATTAAGGTTCTCCCGGGACCCGTATTAAGGAGAAAACCTTATTAAGGTTCTCCCGAGACCCATGATAAAACGAAAACCTTATTAAGGTTCTCCCGAGACTCGTAATAAGTCGAAGACCTGATTAAGGGTCTCGGGAGATCCTTAGTAAGGCAAAAACCTTATTAAGGGTCTCTGGAGAACCTTAATAAGGTTTTCGCCTTATTAATGGTCACGGGAGAACCTTAATAAAGTATTCGCCTTATTACGGGTCCCGAGATTGGGAGGCTTGTCGCATGCGCGGCAGACTTCGCACGTGATTGGGAGTCTTCTCGCATGCACGGCAGTCTTCGCACGTGATTGGGAGTCTTCGCGCATACGGGATAGCCTTCGCGCGTCATTTGGAGTCTTCTCGCATGCGCGGCAGTCTTCGCACGTGATTGGGAGGCTTGTCGAATGCGCGGCAGTCTTCGCACGTGTTTGGGAGTCTTCTCGCAAGGGCGGCAGTCTTCGCAGGTGATTGGGAGTCTTCTCGCATGCGCGGCAGTCTTAGTACGTGATTGGGAGTCTTCTCGCATGCGCGGCAGTCTTCGCACGTGATTGGTAGTCTTCGCGCATACGGGATAGCCTTCGCGCGTCATTTGGAGTCTTCTCGCATGCGCGGCAGCCTTCGCATGAGATTGGGAGTCTTCGCGCATACGTGATAGCATTTGCGCGTCATTGGGAGTCTTCGCGCGTGCGTAGCAGCTGTCGCGCGTAATTGGGAGTCTTCTCGCATGCGCCGCAGTCTTCGCACGTGATTGGGAGGCTTGTCGCATGCGCGGCAGTCTTAGTACGTGATTGGGAGTCTTCGCGCGTGCGTAGCAGCTGTCGCGCGTCATTGGGAGTCTTCTCGCATGCGCGGCAGTCTTCGAACGTGATTGGGAGTCCTCGCGCATGAGTGGAAGTCTTCGCACGTGATTGGGAGTCTTCTCGCATGTGCGGCAGTCTTCGCCCGTGATTGGGAAGCTTGTCGCATGCGCGGCAGTCTTCGCCCGTGATTGGGAAGCTGGTCGCATGCGCGGCAGTCTTCGCACGTGATTGGGAGTCTTCGCGCATACGTGATAGCCTTCGCGCGTCATTGGGAGTCTTCTCGCATGCGCGGCAGTCTTCGAACGTGATTGGGAGGCTTCGCTCATGAGTGGCAGTCTTCGCACGTGATTGGGAGTCTTCTCGCATGCGCGGCAGTCTTCGCACGTGATTGGGAGTCTTCGCGCATACGGGATAGCCTTCGCGCGTCATTGGGAGTCTTCTCGCATGCGCGGCAGTCTTCGCGCGTCATTGGGAGGCTTGTCGCATGCGCGGCAGTCTTAGTACGTGATTGGAAGTCTTCGCGCGTGCATGGCAGCTGTCGCGCGTCATTGGGAGTCTTCTCGCATGCGCGGCAGTCTTCGAACGTGATTGGGAGTCCTCGCGCATGAGTGGAAGTCTTCGCACGTGATTGGGAGTCTTCTCGCATGTGCGGCAGTCTTCGCCCGTGATTGGGAAGCTTGTCGCATGCGCGGCAGTCTTCGCCCGTGATTGGGAAGCTGGTCGCATGCGCGGCAGTCTTCGCACGTGATTGGGAGTCTTCGCGCATACGTGATAGCCTTCGCGCGTCATTGGGAGTCTTCTCGCATGCGCGGCAGTCTTCGAACGTGATTGGGAGGCTTCGCTCATGAGTGGCAGTCTTCGCACGTGATTGGGAGTCTTCTCGCATGCGCGGCAGTCTTCGCACGTGATTGGGAGTCTTCGCGCATACGGGATAGCCTTCGCGCGTCATTGGGAGTCTTCTCGCATGCGCGGCAGTCTTCGCGCGTCATTGGGAGGCTTGTCGCATGCGCGGCAGTCTTAGTACGTGATTGGAAGTCTTCGCGCGTGCATGGCAGCTGTCGCGCGTCATTGGGAGTCTTCTCGCATGCGCGGCAGTCTTCGCACGTGATTGGGAGTCTTCTCGCAAGGGCGGCAGTCTTCGCAGGTGATTGGG